TATGTATTCAGATATATGAGGTGACCAATGAGAGCTTGTTTACTTCTTTTACTAATATGAGCTCTATCTGTCCAATCACGATGTGAGAAACTTTGTGCTATTCAAAATTCAGGGTCAAACTGAGGTAGGCAAAATTCTCCAGAAAAAATAAAAAATGAGCACTATAAGAAGTAAACATGATGACAAGAGAGTAGGAAAGCTGTCTCTCATCATCCACAGACTTTTGTGGTATTTCTTTACAGTGTGAGATGACAACACATCAGTTTTTCTTCCTTTCAGAACTTTCTTACCCTTGGTAGGAAAGGTGTTGCTTGACTTTCTGATCACTAGCAGTTGAGTTTTTGTTCAAAGAGAAGTATTAATAAGCAGGGAGGAAAGTGGTAGTGACTCTTGAAGTTTCTTCAAGTTGGTTTAAGGAAAGTGTTGAGACTTTATTAACATAGAAATATAAAAACTTCTTGTAAACGTCTTTTTTGTGTGTGGTCAGAGGATCAGTGGAAAAAGTTTTCCATTAATTTTTCTATTAAATATTCTATGTGATATATATTATTAAAGAATTTGATATAGATATAATTGATATATTTGATAACGAAAAAGTATATAACAAGGAATATGAAGTTGAAAACTGTTATGTTTACAGGAATTCTCCTATGTCTATATCATGTAAAAAGTGTGGTAAGTTAACTTTTTCTAAATATGGCACATGTATAATACACACTAGTGATTATCGATCTCAATATCAATATCAGCAAAAAAGGCCAGAGAAAATGGCAGAAAAATCAAAAGTGTTTAAAGAAAACTTATAATGATATTGATATCATACCCAATAATATGTTTTAATTTTAAAAATGAGTTAAAAAATATTATAACTATTCGTAAACCTGTAATCAAGAATTACATCAGGCCCACAAATGATGATATATAATTGGGTACATCGTAAGATATATATTTTTTTTGCCCATGTGACCTTGATGATAAAAATTGATCACTTTGATATGTAACCTGACAACAAAAACTTACTAAATAAATATGACATTATTGATATTGAATTTGATTTCCTAAAGATTATACAAACTATATATCTACTCCAATTATAAAAATTAACCACTGTTATTATATGGCCTGACAACAAAAATTGGCCACCATTATTATGTAGCTTGATGACAAAAATTGGTCACCATTGTCATGTAGTCTGATGATAAAAATTGGTTACAGTCATCACGTGGTCTGACAACAAAAATTGGCCACAGTTATCATGTAGTCTAATGACAAAACTTGGTCACTGTTGTCATGTGACTTAATTACACTATTGTTATGTGGCTGATTTTTTTTTTGGCCATATAGGAAAGTGATTGATTTTTTTTTTTTAGTCACATATTTTGAGTAGGAATAACCTAATTAAGTGATCACAACATTATAATATTATGATCACTAAATCAAAAATCTGCAATTTAAGATTAACTCAAGAAAGATTTCAACCTTATAATACTCTGAATATCTATAAATATAGAATTTGACCTCTTTTATTAAGTGTATCCAATAATGATATTCAAGTCTTGAGATTTCTTAAAAGTCAATTATCAGATAAGCTTTTCACTTGGATGAGATCCAATGTTTCAGTAGATATTATTGAATTTTTCATTGCATTAAAAAATATATATTCCAAATCCATGTGAAGAATTAAATTTTGATCAAATCTTAGCTATTAGGCCAGAGACTAGCTTTTTAACTAATATATTATCTACAATTTCTCAGCCAGAAACCAGCTTACACCAATTACAAAATAATTTATAATACTGGTACAATCTTAACAGAAATTATCTAATTCTGATAATTATTATAAAGTACTAAATAAATACACTATATAGACAAAAGTATTGTATATCTTAAATTTATTATTATATAAAAATGTACATAATAACTTTATTTAAAATTTTAATATGTTATTGTTTATATTAAAAAAATATGTGTCCAATTTTTATGTTTTTTCAATAGGTAAATATTAAATTAAGTAAGTATAAATACATCTATACTTCCAGTATTTTTAATTTCAAAAATGTATCACTTAACTAAAAGTAAACATAATAAAATTATAGGTCTCTATAAAGATAAACATTCCTTATTAAAAATTTCAAAACTACTTAAAATTCATAGAACAACTATTTTTTGTACAATTAAAAATTATCTTAATAGAAACAATCTTGCTACTCTTTCTAAAACTGGATATTCAAAACTATTAACTTCTAAAGACAAACCCATTTTAAAAAAAATTGTTAAAAAAATAATAAGAAATCTGCAAAACAAATTAGAAACAAATTTATTGAAAAAATCAATATTAAAGTTTCTATCAAGACAATTAGAAAAAATTTGCATAAAATAAATATTTTTTCTCATATACTAGCTCAAAATTACTTTTAAATAATCAACAAATGGAAAATTATCTAAAATGGTATATTGAAAGAAAAGATTGATAGTTCAAAAATGGAAAACTATTATATGGAGTGATGAAAAAAGATTTACAATATTTAAAAATGTTGGTCCTAGTCATATTTGAAGAACTTGTGATACAAGATATAATATTGAAAATATGGTTCTAACAGTAAAATTTGAAGTTGAAGGAATAATGGTATGGGGATGTTTTTCAAATAAATAATTAGATCCATTAGTAAAAGTAAGTCATAAATTAAATAGTTAGATTATATTAAATTACTTGAAAAACATTTCTTATCTTTAATTAATAATAATTTTAATTATAAGGGATATTTGTTTCAAAATAATAATATTCCAATTCATACTGCTAAAGATGTTCAACAATAGATTTTATAAAATAAAATTAAAATTTTACCTAATTAGTCAAGTCAATTTCCTGATTTAAATCTAATTGAACATTTGTGATCTAAATTGAAAAGAAAAATAAGAAATAGATCAGAAAATATAAAAAATTTAAAAAAATTAAAAACTGCATTACAAGAAAAATAGAGTAAAATTTCAAAAAATTAATCAATGAAATTATATAAAAAGTATGCCATAAAGAATAGAAGCAGTTATTAAGAATAATGGATGGTAACAGAATATTGATCTATATATAAATATTTCATTATATAAAATAAAACATATTAAAATTTTAAATAGAATTATTATGTATAATTTTATGTAATTAATAAATAAATGATGTATAATACTTTTGTCCAGGTGGTGTATATACCAGAAAAACCTTCAGATAGGTATGGTGTAAATTCTAAAAGATTTATTCATGCTAATATCATAAATCAAATTCTTTCAATCAGTTAAATTATAAAATTTTTAACTAATGATCTTTATCAAAAATTGTCTGATATATTTTCAACTGAACTAGTACAATCGAAAAATAAAGATATCAGTACCAATTATATAAATAAAATTACTAAAGGTATGTTAAAATCATCATTAAATTTAGCAAAAATGATAAATAACATTAATGTTGTTAAGAAATTATCTCAATATTATTGTTTAAATTGTAATAGAACTAGATATAATTTTTACAAATATACTTATAAAAAAAGATTCAAGAGCAGATTCAAAAAGAGAGGCAGTATTAATAAGGTTGCTATAGATTTTGATTCAGATACAAACTCTTCAGATAATAACTCTGATTCTAAGAATTTCTTATCCAAGGTTGAATCTGATTATAGTTATAATGTACATATTTCTAATATAAAAAAACAAGTAAAGCAAAAAGATAAATCAAATAAATCATTATCTAAAAAGTGGCCTAGTTCAAAGAAGAGACAGAGTTTTGAATCTCTGATTCAATGTACTTCATAAAAATCACAAATGAAATTAGGTACAATTATTGATGCACAAATTCAAAAAATTATTCTAACTATATTTAATAATTCAGAGGTTATAGAAACAATTAGAAACAATATTAATAATATAAATTTATCTATTACAAGATCTGATTTTATAAATTATCAAGAGCCAATTCAAGAAATACCTGATTTGGATAGGAAAGATAAAATGCTAAACAATCCTATGAAGATAGACTTTGTTTATAAAAAAAAACTTGCTACAAGCCTTGCAACTATACCATGTAAAATCAAATACTTAAAAATTTCAGCATTGATACTTGATAGTGGGCTGAACCTGCAATTGTATCAAAAGACATTGTTAAATATATAGGCTGAAAACTAGATAGATCAAAAAAATATGATCTTAGTGATGTTGCAACAGTTCCAATAGAATCTATTGATATTGCTCATAATTTTCTAATAATATTCCTACCAGGTTTTACTATATAAGAAGATTTTATAATCATATACCCTCTAAACCAATATTGATATTTCCAAACCACTTCTCAAGAAATATAAATGCACTATAAATTGGGTAAAAATGGGTTGAAAATTTCTTTTAATGGAAAGGATAGCATTATTCTAATTACTATATACAAAGTCAAGAATAAACTCAAAGTAAATTGTGCTATCATATTATAGAATAATAGGGATAGAGTTACATTGCTTTTCAATAAGTCTTTGGTATTCAGTCAAATTTTATAGGATATCAATAGTAATGAGAGTAATAATGAATCATTGGAGACATGGCATACTCTATGGATTTTAGTCCAGATTCTATTAATTCGGCTTTAAAAAAAAATATGTAAATTGCAAGATGTATGCAAAAAAAATACATAAAGCAACTAAAGTTATTACTAGTCTTAATGACCTTGTTTGTTATATATGATCATTGTAAAGAAAATAAAGATTAGGTAGAATAAATAAAATTTATCATTTATGATTCATCAATATTATATCCTAAATATAATAAATTCTTCTTATCTTCTTTTACTACACATTTAAGATGAGCTAGTTCATCTATATCTATTTTTTCTATTGATTTTCAGAAATGATAAGTGAATCTAATATCTATACAGATCTGGATCTCTTTATTTTTATTTGCTTACTTGGTTATATTGACTTTATTAATGAGTTATCTATAATAGAGCCATTTACTAGATGATGAATCTAAGATGAGTCAAGGATTTGAAGCTTAGCTTTCTTGAGATTCTGTCTCTTTTCTGAATTATGTCTCTTTGAGTCTAAAGGTTTGAACCCTATATAGGTGACATTTATAGTAGAATTTGATTTATTATTGGAGCTAGTATCAGTAATAAATATATAATTGTTATTGTTCCACAATAAGTTACAATTCTTTGACTCAAGACACTTAATGTTTTGATATGTTGAGAATATAAAATTAGAGATATTATTATATGAGTATAGTATAGGCTGATTCCATAAAACTCTATTAGCTTCTACTTCTCTCCAAATCTGATATATATATTTGTTAATGGTTTATATTTATTCATTAACTTATTTAAAATTTTATATCTTGGTTTTATATTACAACACTGTATAATATATCAATAATCTTCTGGTATAAAAATAAATACATCATATTTCATATGTATTCTAACTATAATGATAAATACTTTGTTCTTTTTGTTTATTTAAAAATATAAGATATTTATATCTAATGAAAAATATAAAATAAATTGAAAAAATATAATATATCAAATATATAAATCTAATATTCAATTAATACAAATGTCTAATCTGTATATATATATATTCCATTTTTTATATTTATTCTATATATATATTAAGTTCAACATACATATATATTAGCTTTGTTTATTTTAGTTGAATATAATTTACAATTTATTTTTAACTATTATTATGGATATTAATGAAGAATTGTATTATACTACAAAAATTATATCCAATCTAAATGCTTGCAATTAATCATTAAGAACTGATTAATTAAAGCAAGAGTAGAATTTGGATCAAAAAAGAAAGAAATAGGATTGGAATGGAAAGAAATGGAGTAAAAAACTAGGAGAGATTAATATCAAGATTCAGAAATTACTTACTCATGATTTAGAACTTATTAATGAGACTAAATATTTACAGAATGAAAATGCTCGCAAAGATATCTTTCTTGCAAATTCAAGGCTAAGTATGATATAAAATTAGAGGAGATTAAATCACTTCGAAATGAAATAGAATTATTGAAGTATAAGTTAGGTTTATCTCAGAAGGACTCATCAAAGAAAGGGTTTGAAATTATATCTCTCAAGTCCAAGATAGTTGAATTAGTTATAAAGATTAGTGAAATAGAGCATCTGAAATTTGAGAATATATCAGAATCTATAGGTTTTATGAGCCATGACCCAAAAGGTTATCTAGGTACACAAGAGCTATTGTTCTATAGGCTCAAAGGGGTAACTCTAAAGGATCATATGGCCTGCTCTATAATAATAAGTAAAGATAATAAAAAAAATATGTAAAGTAAAAAATAAAGTTCCATAAACAAGTCTAATGATATATTTTTGAATAGTACTAATCTCAGTAAATATTTTATATGTGAAAAAAATATGGATCCAATAAAAAAAATTGATAGTAACAGATCGATATATACTAGTGTTAAGATTTCAAAACTATCAAAAAATAATACTGAGATTATTATCAAAGCAAGTAATAAAATTAATATTAGCAAAACCAATAATAATACACTCCAAGAATTACTGAATATGGCTTTTTACCTTACATAGACAAAAAATTATAACCCCTCTTTGATCAAATCACACTCTCAAATTCTGATAAGAGAAATAGGATCAATTTCTATTGTAGCAAGTGCTTTAATGTTACTATTATTAGCATATATATTACTAACTCTGTTAATTATTGCTATTATATGGTTCGTGGTATTGAGATGCATGTGGAATATAGGTAGGCTCTTTAAGCTAGGATTCGAAAAATCACCTAGGCATGCAAGTGCCATTGCTTTACAGGCCCAAAAGGGTAATCTTAAAGGATAATATGGTATACTCTGCAATAAAAAAGTGATTGGCTATAGGATATATAGATCTGATAACAAGTGAACTTCAAAATTATTTATATATGAAAAAAATATTATTAATAATATTGTTAAAGGCCAAAGAAGTCAAACAAAGTTCAGAATTTTTGCTGTGGTCACGTGACCGATGATCGTGACAGACCAAAGCTTACGTGAAACAATCAATTGTCGACTATCACCATACACCTTACAAGCTAGAAGAATGCGCGAACAATATATTTGCGTCAAAAAGGTAAAGAACTATGAGCTAAGGTAATAGAAAATTAGCTGACCAAGAGGCAATTCATGCATGACATAATACTAGAATAGCCATAGTGATTATGTAATAGTCCTATGTGTAAAAATGTATAAATGTAACTTCTTTCAATGACTTAATAAAAT